ATAGATTGCCAGTCCTCCTTCTGTGGAGTGGCTGCTAGGTTTGAACTACCAATCTTCTGGTTAGCAGTCAAATGCCTTAGGCACTGTGTCACAAGAGCTCCTTATTTTATTCATGCAAAAAGACAAGCTACCAACCAGGAGAATATGTTCAGAACCATATGTTCAACAGGAATCTAATACCCAAATGTATATAAAACTTCAACAACTTGACTACAGAAAGACAAATAATCCAATTATAAAATGGGCAAAGGACTTAAAAAGACATTTTACCAAAGAGGACATTCATATGGCCACCAATTACTTAAAAAGATGCTCAGCATCATTAGCCAGCAGAGAGATGAAAATCAGAACCACAATGTGTTATCATTTCACTTCCACTAGGTTGGCTAAGATAAAAAAAAAAAAAAAAAAGAAGACATGAACAGACACTTCACCAAGGAGGATATTCAAGCGGCCAACAAACATATGAAGAAATGCTCACGATCATTAGCCATCAGAGAGATGCAAAAAAAAAAAAAAAAAAAAAAAAAACACCAGAAAATAACAAATGTTGATGAGGGAGACTAGAATCCTTATCTATTGTTGGTAGGAATAACCCTCATGAAGAACACTGTGGCTATTCCTCAAAAAATTAAACTACTGTTTGAGCCAGCAATTCCACTCCTAGGTATATACACAAAGATTTGAAAGTGGAAAGTCAGAAAGAGACTTGTACATCAATGTTTATTGCATCACTATTCACCATAGGAAAAAGGTAGAAACAACCTAAATGCATGCCAACCTAAGAATGGATAAACAAAATGCAGTATGTACATACAATGGAATACTATTTAGCCAGTAGGAGAAATGAAGTCTTGATACATGCTACAGTATGGATGGAGCTTGAAGACATTCTGCAGAAAAAAATAAGCCAATCACAAAGAACAAACATTGTATGACCTCACTTATATAAAAAGACAAGAAAATCTAATGCATAGAGACTAGAGTTTATTATACTTATCAGGTGGGGAGAGGGGGATAAGGGGAGTTAAAGGTGATGGAAAATTTGCATCGATTAAGGTTGAGTTGTACAATTATTGTCATTGCTGTCACTAAGTTGGACACCTATAAAAAGTTGAATTGGCATAAGTTGTGTGATAAATATATTTACAACCGACTGGAAAAAAAATAGTAGGTGCTGAGGCTGCTTATGTAGAACCAAATACCTCATGGGATTTGGTTCCTTGGTTTGGAGGTTTAGGGTCTCTCTCCTACTTTCATTGCATAGTGCCTGGTGTCTTAAAAGTTTGTAAGCAGTCATCCAAGGCATAACAATTGGTCTCTACTCACCTGGAGCAACAAAGGAAAAAGAAGAGTCAGGAACAGGAGGAGGATATGGAATGTGTGCTTGACTGCCTACATGAGCAAACTGCTTTCTTTACCATGAGACCAAAAGAGCTGGATGGTGGCCAGTTACCACTACTGAACATTTTGATCAAAAGTTCCATAGCAGAATCCTGAGCAAAAGGGAAAAAAACGCAGAACAGAATTTCAAGTTCTGATTGACTCTAGACTTTCTGAAGCCATGGAAGACAGACTAAGCCCCAAAACTACTGTCCTGAGATAATCTTTAAACCTTAAGCCAAAAATATCCCCAGAAGTCTTCTTAAAACCAAACAAAAGTTTAGCTCAACTAATACACAATGTCTTCCTTCAGCTCTACCTGTATGGGATCAGGGAGCTCTTATGGTGCAGTGCCTAAGGCATATGACTGCTAACCAGAAGGCTGGCGGTTCAAACCCACCAGCCACTCCTCGGAAGGAAGGTCAGGCAATCTACTTCCATAGTGATACCGCCTTGGGAACCCAAGGAGGGGTCTCTATGAGTCGGATCCTACTCCACAGCAGTGCTTTCCATTGCATTTGTATGGGATCAAATTCACAACAGCAACTTGAAATATTAGATAAGAACTTTAGGGGGCAGTGAGTTTATGTTAATGGGGAAAGAACAAGTCAGTAAAGGAGGGTCAGAATGGTTGCACAACTAGAAGAATTCAATACATGTCACTAACCTGTACATGTAGAAACTGTTGAATTGGTGTATGTTTTACTGTGAATATTCACAACAAAAGCAAAACAAAACAAAAAAACCATGTATGCTGGGGCTTACTCCCTAAAGATTCTGAATATATTGGTATAGGGGGTGACCTGGATATCTGGATGTTTAAAGTTCCATGGTGATCCTCATACAGAGTTTATATTTCAGATGAATGTTAAAGAGAGTTTCTAAAGAAGAAAAGTTGGAAGAACATAATCTCAATAATCTGATTCACCTTCATAAGATAAAGAAACTAAGGAGAATGATGAAGCATTTGCCAATGACAACAGAAGTAGCATTTACATTTCTTGATGCTAGGCAGGTGCCCAGGAGGGAGCTCTGGTGGCGTAGTGCCTATGGCATCTGACTGCTAACCAGAAGGCTAGTGGTTCGAACCCAGCAGCCACTCCTCGGAAGGAGGGTTGGGCAATCTACTTCTGTAGTGACACCACCTCGGAAACCCAAGGAGGGGTCATTATGAGTCAGATCTGACTCGTTGGCAGTGAGTTTGGTTTGGCTGGTAGGCAGGTGCCCATTGTTTAATAAGTAGATCAAACTTAATCTCTAAAGAAGCTTTATTGTTTTTGTAACTGAGCCAATCAAATCAAACTAAAATTATCTGGGTAACAACCCTTATGCAATGCAATTTATCGGTAGCTCTAGAGGTTTCAATGATATAAGGTACTCTCAATTTACATTTGTTATATTTTTCAACAAATTTGAGCAATCCTACATATTTTACCCACAATCCATAGTAGATACTTGGAGGCAACTCTTAGAATAAGAACTATAACAAGTACCATTTACCAAAGACCAGGTGCTTAAATACATTACTAAACACTACAGCAACCTCACGAAGTAGCTGTTGGGCCTGTATTACAGGGAAAACTGCAGTTCAGAGAAAGTTAATAAATGCTTTTGGCCTCCTATCCAGTAAGTAGCCAGGCTGAGATGGGATCCAGGGAGGTCTGACTCGAGCAGTCATGTCTTTACTATGCCACATTGCCTTTTTCCTAGGAAAATGTGAAGTGACCCTGGTAAATTGTTTTACGGGGTAGAATACCGTGCTGTCTGGACTGAATGGTTGTTTATGCTATTTCACAATTCAGAAGAGAAGTGACAAGAGCCAATTCTGTATAAACCTACTCCTGAGCCACAGTGTCAGGTGAAGACAAGCTACCTCATCTATCATTGTGAATGGAGGACACACACATTATCATTCTCAAACATCAGCTGAGGGCACTCTGTAGAGGACCTACCCAAGCTTGCCTTTCATGGATTGGCAATCTAGATGGGGATGACAGGGTTTTCTTCAGCTCTGGATTCTCCCAAATTACTTTTGATGAAAGACTACTGGTGACCTGAAAATTAAGTATAATCTCTCTGGCCAACATAGCAGTTTGATTCTTTTCCCCTGCTTTCCATATTTAAATCATTGTAGAAAGTCATGTAACCCACCCAGGCAAACATCACTGTTCCAGAATCTTGGAAAGGTGTAATTCCAAAATTATATAATTTCATGGGGGAAGAAGGGATTGCAGGGCTACCTACATGAAGAATGTCTTTCTTGGAAGAAGGCTAGGGAAAGGGTTGGTCATTCTTCCACTATGTCAACATTATAGTAAACAGGAGGGAAGGAACGAGGGTCTACAGACCCTTCCTAAGAGACAACAGAGGGTTTGGGGATGGAAAACATAGCTGGACTCAGGAAAGTAAAACCATATTGGAATGTGCTACAATACCCTAATGGGCTTTGATGGGACAAAGTTCCACAGACTACAGAGTAATCCTACAAATAGAGTGGTTAGCGAAAAGGAACATAAACCCTCTAGGAAAATCATTTTTCGGCCCTTTTCTGGGTCTGGTTGTCCCTGGAAGGAGTTTACATAAATAACCTGAGATGAAAGTCCAAGGTTGGGAAAACGGAGATAATAGGTTTTGGAGGATTAGGAGTTCAGGTAGAGCAGGCTGCTGAGAAATACTGCCGAGTTTTAGGGTTCAGCCTTGTCTTGAATTCAGATTTTAGCGTTCGTTTGTATTTAGATTTTAGCCTCTCTTTGACTAAGAATACCTCTTAACCAAGGATCAAACCAGAGACAGCTACATTTTCCTGCCTATGGGTGAAAGAAACACACATCCATAATGCAACAGAAACAAGGCAAGCCTTCCAGTGTAAGTCAGGGTATCCAGGCTCAGGCAAAGGTCTCCTTGACAGCCAGGGACATAAAACAATGCTGCAAGGCAGGCAGAAAACAAACGCATCACGAAACCGCCAGCCGCCGCCTCCGCCTCCGCCTCCCCAGCCAGCCGGATCTTCAGGCCTCCTTTCTTGGGCTTGGCTGAGAAGTGCCACGGATGAAATAGTCGATCCGTGGGGTTCCTCAAGTGCTTAGGGTAGCCCTGCCCTATTGCCCCGAGAATGGAGCGCTCCATAGTCTAGGGACGTCTGGAGATCGCCGGTGTCCGTTTCGGTTTTTAAGGTGGCTGCGTTCCCCAGTCAGAGCCTGTTTTCTCCTAGCCCTTCTAAAATATTTAACTCATTCTCTGCCAGCTCTTATTGTGGAACGAGAATGGGGGAGGAGAGGTTTAAAAAATACTGAAAGATTTTGATTTATGACGTTGTAAACCAAGAAAGAGGGCGATATTTAGGACAGTCGAAGGGTTAAATCGCCTCTAAATTCTATTCAATAACTTCACCTCCATCTGTCACCAACGAAGACGAGAAGACACAGATCTAGCCTTCAGCTAGCAAGGAGGCGAACGCGATACCCTGAAAATGCCGGTCAAAGCCACCTTAAAAACCGAACACCTCGGAGGTTTAGAAAAATATGCATTCTTGTGGGACGCGATCCGAATATTTAGTTTCCCCTTCTAATACTCGCTTAAGAGAAGGGAGAGAGGATCAGCGCTGGGCTGCGTCTCACCACTTGCTGTGCGCCCCGGAAAGTCGCGTCCAGTAGCATCAGCTTCCAGGGATCAGCCACAGAACTGGGTAGGGGGATGTAGACGTAGTAGGCGGCGAGCGCCACCAGGGCGGTGAGCAGGACACAGGACGACCTCATCCTCTCCAGATTCCGCCCGCCAGCAAACTGGCGAGCAGGAAAGGGCGATGCCAACCAAAGACCTCCGGCAAGTTTCTGCCCACAGCCACCGCTCAATCACCGGTTCCTTATGTACCCAGGAGCCAATCAGAGGCGGGGTCTGGAGGAAGTCGGGGCGCTCACGTGCCCCCGCTTGGGTGTCCTTGCAAAGGGTTTCAGCCGCTCCAGGTTTGAGAAAGCGCCAGGGTTGAGTTGGACGCAGCACAGCGAACTCTGGAGGACACAGGTCTGTGCTGCACCCATGTGACCGTGGGCTCCGTCCTGAAGGCGCTCATATGGAAAACAGGAATAGTTTCAGGATGATGAATCTCTATCCAAAGCACGTGGGTTATTCTGACTAAAAATGGAGATTCTATTCAAAAAGATAATTTTTAAAAAATCGGTCTTATAAAGGCAAACTTTCAATGGAAGGTAAGTTCTAGCTAAACTGTGGGTGAAAGAAGACAATCACAAAATCTTACAACTCAAGCAGAAGCCCCGTTATTACAGTGGTTAAGTACTCAACTGCTAACCAAAGGTCCGGCGTTTGAACACACCACCCCCTAGCAGGAGAAAGATGTAGTAATCTGCTTCCTGAAGATTTGCCATCTTGGGAACCCTAGGGGCAGTTCTACCCTGTCCCTTAGGGTTTATGGGATCACTAATGAGTCAGGATCACTCAATGACAGTGCGTTAATGGGGTGTTGTTGTTGTTGTTATGTGCCGTGGAGTTAGACCCGACTCATAGAGACCTCTCCTTGGGTTTCTGAGGGTATTACTACGGAAATAGATTGCCCAACCTTCCTTCCGAGGAGTGGCTGGTGGGTTTGCACCAGTCTTCTGGTTAGCAGTCAAGTGCCTTAGGCACTATGCTACCAGAGCTCCTCCTTAATGGGATAGCTCAAGCAAATCTGGGTTTCCAAATCAGTAAATAAAGTAAAAATGAATAACAATCTGCACTAAAAGGAACTTCTGATAAAACGAACCAATAAAAGAGCTCCAATAAAAGGAGCTCTTTGGAGAAAAAGCAGATTCCAGGGCTGGAGCGGGTAAAGTACAAGATAAGCCTGAAATATCTTACTGTGCCAGAAAATTAGGAATTGCTCCAGAAAATGGTGATGACTAGTCAAAAGGGCACAGGCTTTTGAAATGTCTCCCACTAGACACAGCTGGGATAATTTTAATATAAAAATAAATAATGATAACAATGGATTGTGACTCGGTGGCACATAACAATAACAACAACAACCACCCACTGAATAAAATAAAATCTCCAAGACTACTAATATAAATGAGTAAGTAAACAAAGCAAGAGGAAAAACTTTTCCTTACAATAGAATGTGAACAATAGACTCAAGTAACAATGATCATGAAGATAGTGCAGCACTGGGCAATTTTTGGACCTTTATACCTAAGGTCACAATGAGTCAGAGCCAACTCAACAACAACACCATGTCAACTAATAAACGTTGTTGTTGTTGTTATGTGCCATTGAGTTGTTTCCGACTCATAGCGACCCTTCCTTGGGTTTCTGAGGCGGTATCACTACGGAAGTAGATTGCCCAACCTTCCTTCTGAGGAGTGGACTAATAAACATAGAAAATTATTAATGAATGCTAAAAAGTAATGGATGAAAATTAAATGAGAAATTTTAGTTCCTCATCAAATGATCCCCCCCCAAAAATACTTATTAATTATAAAGGGAAAAATAACTTTGTACTGGAGAATATCTGTACATACCACTTTAAAAAATTTTATCAGTGAGTCAATGGTAGCAGGAAAAGCATTTGAATACAGACTCAAAATGGAAGAGGATGAGTATGGACTGGGAAAGAGAAAGAGAAGTTCACTAGCTGAAATTACAACCAGAAATCCAGAAAGAAAACATTTGGAAGAACTGTTTCAGATTGATGATAGGAGAACAACTCCAAACTTGTTGATTAAGGCCTTAAACACTTGGGATATATAACTGGTGTGGCAGTGGTGGTTGTTAGGTAGCATTGAGACGATTTTTTACTCATTGTAACCCACGTGACAAAGTAGAATCTCTCTGCCCAATGGAGAGATTCCTCAGCTATAATCTTTAAGGGAACAGGTCTTCAAACCTCCCTTTCATTTTGCAGCTGAGTGCTTAACTATTGTACCACGAGGGCTCCTTGGGATATATAACCATAAACCTTAATATATGAATTTTAAAATTTTAATCTGATACAAAGAAGTGAAATAACTGTAAATTTGGGCCTAGGGTGAAATTATTAGGAGAAAATTGGCTTCTTGTTAAAAGTTGGAGGAAAATACTTACATAAAGGGGATGTTGAAATGGTGTTTAAGCATTCAAGTTTGGGATAATTGTTTTCTGTAGTTACTGATTAAAAGCATATAATTCTAGACAGATAGAGACATATTTGTTTGTATATAGGCATTTATGCATAAAGTTAGAAAAATGGGTGATTAGAAATAATCCTGGAGAATTATTTACTTTCCAGTCACCTGCAGAATAATTCAAAGTTTTACTGTGTAGACTTTAATATACTTACCCTAGATTTTTACTACATATTCTTAAAAGCATATATAGATCTTAAAGCTAATGACCAAAATAAGAAAGAAGAAAAAAAAGAGAAAATAACCCATGTGACCCATCCCTCCATCTTCAGCAAGTAGTTGCAAACTCAGTTTTATAGATGAAGCTCTTGAGGTCAGAGGCAACTAAATGACTTACCCATATCCTTCTATCTTATAAATGATAACCCCCAGCCATCAAGTCAATTACAACTCATAGTGACCCTGTAGGACAGAGTTGAACCACCCTATAGGGTTTCCAAGGCTGTAGATCTTTATAGAAGCACATCGTTCTCCTGCAGAGTGACCAGAGGGTTTGAACTGCTGATCTTTCAGTTAGAAATCAAGCACTTTAACTTTAACCACTGCAGCACCAGGAATCCTTATAAGTGATAAACCAAAAATCCAAACTGACTGCCATCAAGTTGATTCCGACTGGTAGCTACCCCATGGGATTTCCAAGGCCATAAATCTTTGCAGAAGTTGATTGCCCCATCTTCCTTCCGTGTAACAGCTGGTAGATTTGAACCACCGACCTTTTGGTTAGCCATCAAATGCCTTACACACCGCACCACCAGGCCTCCTTTGCTTTTAAGTGATAGAACTAATAATTTTTCCTTCCTTGCGGTGCAATACAGCTTCCTTTAAGCAATGCATGACAAATGGAACTCTAACCAAAAAAAAAAAAAAAAAACAAATAAACAAAAAATAACACCATTGCCTTTGAGTCAACCCTGTAGAACTGACCCACAGGGTTTCCAAGTCTGTAAATCTTTAGGGAAGCAGACTGTTTTGTCTTTCTCCCACAGATCAGCTGGTGGATTAGAACTGCCAGCCTTTTGGTTAGCAGCCCAATGCTTTAATCACAGCACTATCAGAGCTGCTTACAAAATGGAAACCAAGAAGGAAAAAAGAAACTACAATAATTTTTAGCGTTTCGTTTGTAGATCTGAATTTTTTTTTTTTTTTTTAATGTAAGACCAATTTGAGATCAACTCTTACCTTTTATTGCTTGTTTCCAAAACTTTGTTCATTCAGCACATAACCTGCCAGGTACTATTTTATTGTTAGTTACCACTGAATCAACCCCTGTTTCACAGCGATCCCCAACTCAGGTCAACTCCATGCACAATGAAACAACACTGCCCAGTCCTGTGCCATCCATCCCCTGATTGTTTGCAGATCAGACTGTTTTCATCCATAAAGTTTTTCTTGGTTGATTTTCAGAAGTAGCTAGTCAGGCCTTTCTTCCTAGTTCTTTATACTGAAAGCTCCACTGAAACCTGTTCAGCATCAGAGCGACACACAAGCCTCCACCAACATACAGATGGTGCTGTGCATGAGGCACATAAGCCAGAAACTAAACCTGGGTTTCCCACATGGAAGGTGAGAATTCTACCACTGACCCTCCATTGTGCCCACAAAGGTACTCTTCTAGGCACTAGGGAATGAAGGGGAGTAGGCAAGGCAATGAAGTCTGCTCTTTTTGACTTTACATGCTTGGTTGGAGGAGAGTAGTAAGTTTAAGGAGGGTACAGAAGGGAGGTCCAAAAAACAAGCAAAAAAAAAAAAAAAAAAGATAAATGATACTAGCTAACATGCATTGGGTACTTGTTATGAGCCAGGTTCAATGATAATCTCTTAGAATATATTAACTCATTTGGTCTTACCAACAAAACTAAAGTAGGTAATATTGTTGTTCTGAAAGCTACAGCATTGAAAGATCAAGTGCTTCTCTTCATCTCTGCCTATTGACCCATCAAATAAGAAGTGTAGCTGGGATTTGAGATCACAGTGTGGGCCCTAATATTCAAATGCTTCACTACTCAACTAAAGGATTGGGACTATGAAGAAAATGGAACAGGATGGTGTGTCACAGAGGGGTTAAGAGCTGCTTTAAATTGAGTGGCAAGGGGTCTTTTTGAGGAGGTGCCATTTGAACTAAGACCTGAATGGAAATGAGGAGGCAGCCATGCAGGGATCTAGAGGCTAAGGGAGCAACTGCAAAGGCTTAAAATGGTAACAATGTCAAGGAACAGAAAGAGTGCTAGTGAAGCAGGACTAATATACAAGGGCTGATGGTCCTGGAGCAGCCAGTGAGATAGCATGGGTGCTGGAGAGCAAATCAAGGCCCTGTGGTAGATACTGTGGTAGGTCTATAGGACCTTATAGACACCCTGGTAAGGAGTTTGAATACTGCCATGCAATGGGAAGCATTTGGAAGATTTGGAGCAGGAAAGTATCATGACCTGATTTATATTTATAAATGAGCACTCCAGCTGCTGTTCTGAGAATAGAGTGGCCAGTCAGAAGGCTTTTGCAGTATAATGCACATGAGAGAAGATGGTGGCTTGGAGTGGAGGTGGAATGGAGGGAAGGGGGCAGATTTAGGTATATTTTAGAGGTAGGAAAGATAGGTCACTCATAGTTTATGAGGAGTGACAGAGACGAGCCAATAAAATGCTATTTCTATGCAAATAAGGTTAATTTGAGTCATACAACTGACTTTACCATTTATATAGAATTTTTTCCAAATAATAATTATTAAAACC